GAACGAGATGCAGGTTGCCGCCGCCCGGATCCAAACGGTGCGTCATGACTTTTTCCACCCGGGGGGGGCTGTCGGCTGTCTGGCCTGTTTGGGCTCCAGACAGGCCTTGGCGTCGCGTGGCAAACAGCGGCGCGTTGGTCGTGTTGTACGACAGTACCACCCTGTTGTACCGGTATCAGCCTCTCTGAGAGAGCATCCGGGACAATCCTGCCCACCATTAACCGTGCACACCTTCGTGTATTTATTTCGACTGGTGTGCCGGTGATAGTACTAGCACGCGCCAGTTCGCACCTGTGTCGAGCCTGTCTGCTGTGAGAGAGAGTTGTTTTGTCTAATATTTATTTCGAAGTCGAAATTGCCCCCCCGGGGCTTGTGGGGCGTCGGGACCACAAGTGCGTCTGAAGCGCATGCGCCTCCTGCTCGCAGCGTACTGTATACTGGTCGCCCTGTCCTCGGCCTCGGCTAAGCCTAACCCCAACCCTAGGCCGCGGTCGCCGCCGCTGGACAGAGCGTCGGTCGTGGCCGTGCCCAAAAAGAGCCCTCAGCGCGCAAAGGCGGAGGACGGGGCGTGGCGGGTGCGCACCGCTACTCAGCTGAGTATCCTGGGCTACCAGGGCCGGAGCACGACGAAAGGGGCCGCACCAAAGCAGCAGCTTGATCGAGCGGCAGTGATCAAGGTGGCCAAAAAGTCTCCACAGCGCTCCAAGCCAGCTGTGCGCAAGGCCACCCGCCTCGCCGTCACGGGCTACCAGGGCGAAAGTACCACGAAGGACGCGAAACGCTGATCAAGCTCTTGCTCAGATCATGCGCGCCAGAAAGCGGCGCGGAGGAGGCTGCTTTTAGTCTTTGAGTGTCACTCTAGTGTCCGAAGTGTCGAGTGTCGTCTCCACAAACCACACATGTGCATGTCTCGGCCATGTCTCGCATCCTGCCAATCCTGGCGCGTGAGCATGATTGTGGCCGCAAGCTTAGGTGAGCGTCTTGATTTATTGCATCGTGTCAATATTTACGACACAAATTCGTGAGGGGCTTTCTGGGCATCGGGTCCGCACACAACGTGTTGGTGCCGGAACGATCGGCTTGCGCCACGCGCGCGGATCAGCCGCCGCCGCCGCCTCCTCCGCCGCTTCCGCCGCCGCTGCGCTCCGCCTCCCAGTCGGAGCGACGGCGACCTAGAGCAAGTGCGGGAGGAGGGGGTCGGGAGCCAAGCGCGGGGGAAGCTGCGAATGCGGACTGCTGCGCGCGCGCAGCACGCACCGAGAGGCAGCGCCGACCGCGGGTTGCGAGCGGAGAGGTCGACGTGGGGTGGGTGCTCGTGCGGCCGCACGACGTCGCCCGGCTTGAGGTCTGCGGGGGAGGGAGGCGGTGTGGGGGAGGGCGGGTGCGGGCTGGGCTGGCACAGAGGGCGGGGAGAGGCGCGGGCGGTTGGGGAGGGAGATGCCATCGGGGGTGCGTTTCTGGTGGAGAAAACGGCGGCAACGGCAGCGGAGAGGGCGGCGGCGGCGGCGGCGGCGGCGGGGGCGGCGGCGGCGGCGGCGGCGGCGGCGGCGGCGGCGGCGGCGGCGGCGGCGGCGGCGGCGGCGGCGGAAAGGGAGGGGCCTGGGCGCTCAGGGGAGGAAGGGCGGGGAGGAACCATGGCGCTGGGTTCGAGAAGAGCGGCTGGCGCTGCCACGTCTCTCCATATCTCCCCATCGCTCCCCAGATCTCGCCGGGGTCGAGAAGGGTCCCTCGCGGACTCTCTCCCCATCTCTCCCCACATCTCCCCCACATCTCGCGCTGCTAGATGCGGACTCTCTCCC